TGTTGCTTGGCGAAGCCATAACTCTAATGCAACCCCATATTGACTGCGTCATACGCATACAAATGTATATATGTATGTATGTGTGTGTGTGAGTGCATGCAACTTTATATGGCGGTCTCGTGCATGTCGTAGGTGCTGAAAATATATTGGTTTGATTATTATCAATACTACAACCAAGCGCCCTGCAGTTGCATACGTTTATTTATTTATGAATATACAGGGTTCTCAAAAGGGATTGGTCTACAATACATTGGCAGCGCTAAGCAGTAAGTCAACGCTTTTCGCCGTTCATAAATATTAATGGTTTACCTAAGTTCTTCAAAAATCAAACCACAGTTACCTCAGAGACGAAGGCCTTAAGGAGGTGTATTATCTTCCAACACTCTTAAACATCTAGTTCAAACTAACGGAAGAAATTACATATGAGCAACACAGCAAGCACTATGTATGTATTTTCATAATCAGTACCACAAAAAAAAAACATTAAGAGACCCCCAATCTCGACCCGTTAGAATTTTTTTTATCTTTCTTAGCGAAATAATACGGCAAATAACTAAAAAAATAATCTTAACCTCCCGCAGAGATGTCGGACTGAAACTCTTTTCGAGAAAGGTTTCACGAAGAGACAAGAGAATCTCTGTATATAACGGTGTTTTTTAGACGTGTGGTTTTCAATGAGGCAATATTTTTTTCGGAGATGATCTGTGTGACAGCGGTTACTTGGTTTACACTCCATTTGGTTTGTCATTTCATAATAAACAGATTTACTACGGAACAACGTTTGCAAATCGTGCAAATTTACTACAAAAAAAAATACAAATTTACAAGAAAATTGTGTTCAGCGTGAAGCTCTCTATCGGTTGAATGGGTACGTTAACCTGATTAAGTATTATTACGTGGGAGTGATTAGACATTTAAGTCTCATCTATGGTACGGACTGACGGACGTCTAATCTGTTCCATATGTCTTAGTTTTGTCATGATTGAGGCTGCCGCTTCGCTGATAGCTTTCCTTATTCTCACTGCACTGACACATAAGTGTCGTCAAGTTTTCCATCATAAAACTACCGCCGAGTGAAGTTTTAAGTTTTTCCCTTGTACTCGAAAAGCGAGAGCGATAAAAAAAAGGGGTCAGGGTCTTCTATGCACTCTGTACACATCGGACAGTTCAGACTAAAATCATGAAGGAATCTGTACAGGTAGTATCTTAAGCACTCATGTCCACTTAGTATTTGGATAAGATGGAAATCCAGGATCCCCATATCGTCTGTCTATCCACGGGTGGATGTCCGGTATAAGTCTGTGGGTCCACCTCCTCTGTGTTAGGTTTGCCACAGCTGCTGCTATAGTGATAAGCTTTTGACTCTCTCTACTCTTTTGGCTCCTATGGATGACTCTGGTAACTTGTGATGGAGTGATGGGATACACAAGCCATTGTTGAGACGCTGTTACTGTATCAAAAAGTAACTATTTGGTGTGCTTTACGGGCAGAGGGAAATCCATATTTATTCATGAAGCTGGCCATAAAGTTACGGACAATAGGGAACACCAGAGAGTCATGATTAATGGCTTTTTCGTGTCTGAACGACCCTTGGTTCCGCCTAGATGGCGCTACATTCCATACAGCCAAGGAAAATGAACTTTTTGGTGCACGATTTAACTCAAGTCGTGAGCCTGTGGTGTGGCCTCTGAGATCGTGCGATTTAACACCGCTGTACTATTTTTTGTAAGGTTATGTGTAGTCGCTTGTTTACGCTGATAAGCTCGAGACGATACGGAAATCATTTTTAAAATATAAAGGCAATGTTTATCTGAATTCTTGGCCATAACAATTATTTATGTGTGTTTCATTTCTACTTGAAAATCACATGTCTAAAAAAACAGTAAATATAGCTTAAGTTTCCACAGATATGCCCAAGTGAAATAATATTTTATGAGATATTTTTCTCACAGACCATCTCAAGGTTGTCTCTTTTCTCTCCAAAAGTCCCGTAAAAATTTTAGATAGGTTAGATAAGACAACAATTGACAACGATTAACAATGAGAACTGCTTTATGAAGAGCAGAACAGTAAACGAAGAATACTCTTCAAGATATTGAACGGTCTAGAAGAAAGGCTATGTTCTGAGGCATTTCTCTCTTGAAATGTCTTAAATATCAACTTTCAGGTAGAAGTAATAAATATCCAAAAGGTCAACAATAACTAATTAAGTCACCTAACACCAAAACTTTCACATCGGATAGTGCTCCTGACCACCGTTACTTTAGTTCCGACATAAAAGCCAATAGGTTGTGGAATCACGTCAATACAATTCACGTGCTATAAATATACATACAATTTGGATTTCCGGAAAAAAAAATATGAAATCGAAAAATTTTTAAATCTTTCTAAAAGGGAATATATAAGTCACATTGTAGTATCTAAAGTTATGTCCTAAATTTGTTAGAAAGTATTTTTGAAAAAAATACAATTCAAATTTTTATAATAAACCCCAAAACCTTTCAATTATCATCGACACTACCTTATTGTAACCCCCTGTACAAGTATTCACCCCTTTGTACTCCCACATGGCCGCTAGCTGGCTATCAATGAGCTGTAAGAAATTGTAATTGAACCGTTTCCCTTGTATTTCCTTCTCTCCACATCATTGCTCCGCCCTGCCATTCGTCTTACCATACCGCCCATACTACGCCACCCTTCGTTCGTGCGTATTTTATTGTTCGAAAACTAATTAGTGGCGCATTGCACATTTTTCAAATCTTATTGGCATCTAATTGACGCTAACGCAATAAAGATATTCTCAGTTAATATAATATTTTATTGCTCGCAATTGAGAGACAATTTTCATTCTAGGCACTCAGTTCCGCTAATTGCTTGTGTGAAAATGCTCACCATTTGTATGTACTTGTATGTATGTGTGTTGCAGTGATGCTAACAAATATAGGAATTTTGTTAATTAATTGAAGAAATTTATTTATCTGTGGATTTTATTAAGCTGTTGTTGTGCGTTTGATTAAAGAATATCGAATAACATTCGAATAACATACTAGAATGCATTGTGATAAAAGGTTTGGGAGTAAGGATTTGGCGTTATGACGTATTAAGTACCAAAGTCTTCAGCATCTTTGACAACAATAGCCTCGGTTTATCGGTAAACAGCGATTATTTTTTGTACAATTTACCAAATATGAGGTTTGTTATCTCTGTTTTCTATTCATCAAAATATGAGATTTCTTAATATATTGTAGTTATTATGAGAACTTAGCGCTTAGAATACTGTGATTCATTCCTGAAAATAGACCAAATCGATAGATGCCTTTCCGTCTCAAAAATAAAGATTTCTGTTGCCACTCCGCCGGTATTAAAAAAAAATACTACTTTTAGAAACAAAATTTCCAATAATGTTCACAGGCATCTCAAAATATTTCGTATTCCTTACATTCTTACGATTTGAGCAAGAAATTTTTTCCCCCATTCCTTACCATTTCTCGAAGGAAACATCGGAGACGATTTAGCCATGTCTATGTGTGCGCCCGTCTGTATATACGCGAAGTAGTCCCTAAGTTTTTCAGACATCGTGTTGTAATCGGAACCGCCGGTATCGGATCACTATGAAATATTTCTGTCTTTCAAACTGACTGATCATCATCAAGTTCTTGTATGGAAAGCCTTTTTATTTGGCAAAATGTCTTTACAAAATTTGACACAGAGTATTTTCTAAGGTAACGCTTAAATCTCTGATAAAATTGTTGGACCACTATAGCAGACAGCTGCAATAGAAATTTACCGATAAATATATAATACTATCGAACGAACTTTCGCTAAGCATTTGAAGTGAACTGTTATTTCCGTTTGATTATCAACATTTTACGAACATATATTACTCTAGGATGCAGCATTGTATTTTGCTGACAGTTGTCACAATAAAAAAAATTGCATTTGTCATAAATATAGTGGAACAGACCTAACTCAAATAAAGGTTTGACATTGCAAATTAAACCAAAATTCCTTTCAATGAATTCAGAATCAGTGTTTAAAATAAAATTTGACTAATGAACGCGAATAATGTCATTATAAATCACTTAAGCGATGACATGAGGAAGCGAAAATAAATTGAAGTGAAATTTCAGCCTTTTCAATAATCAACCAACGATTAACCTCCTCCCGGACACAACGCTCATAGTTGCGGAATTAGCCGAGTCGTGAAAGCCAAGTGGGTTTTAAAGCGTCAATTTATACAACTGCTCAAATTTAAACTTACATAAATTTTTTGTATAATAATTTAGGCTAAAGGTTGGTAAGATAAATATATTGTCATATAAAAAAGTTTTCCATACAAGAACTTGGACTTCGGTGGTCCGATAGTGGTACGCTGTCAGCGGATCTGACAAATAAGCAGCTTCTTGGGTAGATGCACTGTTCAAGACACAAAAAATAGTTTTGATATCAAACAGTTATTATTATATTATTAACATGAAGACTAAAATTAAGCTTCCCAGCACATCACCCACAAAATTGGAAACGTTTATTCTTAAGTGACATCATTCACCGATAATTTTCTCAGTTTCGATGAAAAAAACGGGTTATGAACTTCAATTTTTAATATTTATTTTTCTGCTTTGCATTTCTGCAATTAAGTTCAATATCATTTTATTTATATACGTGAAAATAATATTTTTTTAAACTCAAAAGCCATCAAACACTACAAAAATACGCTCACATCTCACACACTTTGCTTTTTTCACCCAAAAAAATATTTCCCCTTTACTAACGTAGACAACACTCTTCGCTAAGCAACCCACGAGTCATACATCAAATTCGCCTTATAGCTGTGGCATACTTTTAGGCAAACTCCCCCACGCACTGAGTAGCCAGAACAGCTGTTCAGAGACAACATTTCGGCCACTCTTCGCCGCATACAACAACTTCGCTGCTGCAAAACACACACACAAAAGAGAGACACGCAATCTAGCAGCTGAATTGCGCGAGAAAGAGAGCACATTTGCTCACTGCTAAATGCACCGACTGGCATTGCCAGCTGCAAACAACTTCGTCGTCGCCACTTACTAGCACTCTACTAAAATAAAACAACAACTACAACTCACCATGTGCCCTAGCAGCTGGCTGAAAACTAGACTGGCGCTGCTGCTGCAACAGCGACCGCATCGTATACACCGCTGCTACCTTCGTCATTCGTACGCCGTTGATTCGGCTACACCGCTGTTGTTTCTGCTGCGGCCGTGCCAGCTGCCTGACACTTCAGTTGTTTCTTAAAAGCCGGTCGAAGCTGTTGTGAAGAGTCGGTTAGTGCGCGCTCGATGTGCGAATTTTTATTTATTAGTGCTCGCTACCAACAATAATAACAACAACACATTATCGAAGTGAAGTGCATACGAATTTTTTCGATTTACGAAGTTATTTGGTAGAAATACTAAAAGTGCAGCGAAGTGAATTTGGCTTACTTATCCAAGAAGGTATCCAAAAAAAAAATTGGCGCTAAATCTAAAGCGCATGAAGAATTAAACAAGTAAAGCGGAAAAAATTTACAATTGCCTGCATTTTTGTTTACATTTAAGTGGAGGCCAGAAAAAAAAGAATTTAACGCTGTGAAAGGTGAATAATACAAAGCGAAAACGATGTAATGAAAAGCAACAAACGAAATTAAAGTGAAGTACCTACATATTTAACGACAAAAAAAGTGACGATGCCGAGGCAAAAGAATAAGCAAAGGCAGTAAGTGAAGTGAAGTGAAAGAAAGTAACACGAAACTGGTGTGTTTGGGTAGCAAAAGCGAAGAGTAAGAAGAAGACAAGCAAAGCAAATGTCGAAAATGTAGAAATGTGGAGGAGCAGTGCAAATGCAATTGGAGTAAATACATACATACATACATACACATATGCACAAGTGTTGTTATTCTAGCAACGCGAATGAGTACAGTGATGCGCTTTGCAATTGTTACAAATTAATTTAATTGGAGTACTCAACAATTGAGGTGAAAAAAATTGTAAAACAAAAAAAAAGAATATAACAAAAACAAAAGCGTAGCAAATACGTATGCGAAGTGTGTGTAAAGAATACATTAAAAATTGCTATAAATCAAGTGAAATTAATGTGAGCGGAAAGTGTAATTGAAACAAAGTGAAAAAAATATTTAAACAAAGTGCAAAGAAATAATTGAAAAAAAAGTTATAATAATTAACTGAATAAACAAGTGGAATACTATTAGCAAAAGCCAGCTTGTGTTAGTGCTAATGAAAACGTGCTAACTAATATTCAAACAAAAAAGGTAAATAAATGTTTTTGTATAAATATGCATACATATGTATGTATGTACAAATATTTAGTATATAGCTTTATGAATTTAATTAAACAAGCAGTGAAGTAGCGTGTATATTTGACATTGAAGGCATAATTATTTAATGACAAATAATTCAAAAAACAAAATAATAATAAATATATGTATATCTAAGTTAATATAAATAACGTCAGCAAACTGAGATCGAAATATTATAATGAAGCTTATTTGGTATAATTACATTTTACTATGGCAGCATATTGTAATTAGTATATATGTACATATGTAGGTATAGCCTTTCCGTTTTCGAATTCCCACTCCAGAGCCACTTAGTATTAAGTATATCTTCATTGAGAAGCACGAATATACAAAAAATTGTACATACAATTTTTTTTCAAAAATATAAAAGAGCAACAAAATAATTAACTGTAAATGTAATTTAAAAAAATAAATACATAGTGGTATACTTAACTCAATAAAATAGCCTGACCAAAAAGATAAAAATAAATGTTTTTTTTTATAGCATAAAAGGGTATGAAAACATTTTATCTTCAATTTGATCGGTCAGTTTGTATGGCAGCTATATGCTATAGTAGTCCGATCTGAACGATTTGTTCGGATATTGTAGCACTATCTGAAAAAATAATCAATGTCAAATTACAATACGTGAGGATATCTCGTCAAATAAAAGAGTTTTGCATAGAAGAACTTGATTTGGTTTGATCAGTTTGTATGAAAACTATATGTTATAGTACTCCGATCTCAACAATTTGTAACTCTGATTTGGGCAATAATATGTGTCCAATTTTAAGAAGAAATATTTTAAAAGAGGTTTCAACATAAGGACTTCAATTTGATCGTTCAGTTGATATGACTGCTATAAGCTATAGTTGTTCAATCTAAACAATTTGTTCGGAGATTTTAGCGTTATCTTTGAAAATGATTCACACCGAATTTCATGAAGATATTTTGCCAAAAAAATTAGTTTTTCATCCAAGAACTTGATTTTGATCGTTCAGTTTGTATGGTAGTTATATGCTATAGTGGCCGGGTATCGGCGTTTCCGCCAAACGCGAAGCTCCTTGGAGAAAAAAGGGTGTGTGCAAAACTGCAGGTCGATATCTCAAAAATGGTTTCGCATATACCATATACATACATATACAAATATACGCACTTAATCGTCTTGGTTCGTCACGCTGATCATTGTCAAACTAGTTTTCTATGAATTCTGCTTAATAATGCTTTTACTAAGATACGAAAATATCAATCCTTCAGTTTTCAGATTACTATTTCTTACATTTTGACGTCAACACTATTGCTTTGACATTTATATTTAAGGAATACATATGTGATGTTCCAGTACTTTAGTTGGCATAGTGTTGATTTATCGTTAAATTTTTAGAGGCATTTTTGAAAGCAAGAAGTGCTAAAATAATAAAAACGGAATTGGAATAAAACAAGTTGAGATTGAGGTTATTACTTCATTTAACCACTTCATAAAAACCATAAATCGAATACATTTTTTAATTTGCATAATCTTAAGCTGGCTTTAGCCCTTAAATAGGTGCTTGGCTGATAGGAAAATCTTCAAAACAACATTGACGACACTTTTAAAAATTTTATTAGTTAATTATTATCCTGAGAAAATTTTGCTAACCAAAAATCACAATAAAACAACATATTACCACATATTATATTTTATAGCTACCAAAAAGTAATAATAAGCAAAAGGTCAAATTGCTAGGAATATGACCTTTCTTGAGAAAAAAAGCAACAAAATACATTTTTTTAAAATGCACCAAGCTACATACAAACATAGTTGTGTATATATACGATATACACTTATATACAAATCAGCTCATCTTAACCTTCCACAGAAAAACTAAATTCTCACCTGCATCTATTAAAATAAATGAATATTTTAATGGTTGAGGTAAACGTTTATTGTCTACAATTTAAATAATAATTAAAATAGAATTGTCTGAGCCATTCGAAACGATTGCCTTTTAAGTGCATATGGATGCAGTGACTAAAGCAGCATGGCAAACCCGTACGCTGCGGCATCCCCAGCACCTCATCCCATATGCCACCACATTCGTGTCGTGACCAGCGTTGAACCGACTGGATCAACCGGTTTACAAATACACACATAATTTTTTACACAACCGTATGTATGCATGTGTGTGTGTGGGTCTGAACAAATATTGAAATGTCTGCGACCACAACCAGTCGGAGGCGCATGCAGTCAACCAGTCAAATGTCAGTTAGTCAGCCAGAAAACCAAAGTAATAACCAGCAAAAGACACAGACAACATAGCGTGCAACATCAAGCTGCTTCATTTGGGGCAGTTACAAGCGCTTTGTTGCAGCTTTGCAGCGAAGTAAAGGCTGCAGCGCAAGCCAGCGTGGATTTTCATACAAAAGTGCATTTATATATGTATATATGGTAGATATATTCATATATAATATTTATATGGAAAAATAAATATCTATCGTTTGTCTATATATGTACATATGTATATATACATATATAAGAGAGTGTACTTGAACATTTACGTCATTGCAAAATGCCAATTATATATTCCTATTTTTTTTCCATTGCATATAACGGGTTTTTCCTAATGTACTTGGTGGGCTGCTGTGTCCAGCATATCCAGTCCATCGTCGAAATAATAATTTCCAACGTTCACTCAATCTGAAATATTTGCACTGCTCCCCCCTTTGCACGCCACCACTTGACTTCGCTAGCGCGCGCTTTGTTTTCTCAACTGCTTTAGTTGAGTGCACTACTTCGAGTATTTATTTATTTTAATTTATTATTGCATTATTCTAGTTTTTGTTTGCCCACTCCGTTATGCTTTGCTTGGCAAGAAATACAACAGCAGCAGCAATTACTTGTATTTCTATTTATACCAGATGTTTTTGTTGCTACTATTAATATACACTTGTGACTGGCGGAATTATGCGCTTGATTAAGGCGAAGCAAAGAAAATATTCAAATGCCTAGAAACAGTTGAAAAAAGGTTATGGTATAAAAAATTGATCAAATATTACATGCAGAATATTTTTACCGTTAATTGTATGTAAATAAAATTTTTTTGTGCTTTATGAATTACTGCCATTCATAAAACTTTGTCACCAAAGTGAATAAAAGTTATTGTAAATAAAAAAATGAACGAATTAAATGGTTAAAATTGAAATAATATGGGTAAACAAATATAAGATAAAATATAAAAAAAAAATATATAAAATATTTATATAAATAATAAAATATATGTACATAAATTCAACTGAAATTCTCATATTAGGTACCATATATAGGGGCTAGGCGTAGTATTGACCCGATTTTTATCTATTTTAAGTACAAGAACACAATATTATTACAGAGAGACGCTCTCTGAATTTCTTAAAGCTTTCTCACTTGTTGACCGGTATATACAGTTTAAAGTCAAGCAGAAGTTCGAAAATCTTTATATTAAGTGTAAGGGGGGCTAAAGTAAGTATTGACGCTATTTAACCCAATTGTGCCACAAGTTCACACATTTATCAGGAAAAGATTCTCTCTAAATTTCAATAATATACAGTTTTATCGATATTTTCGATACTTGAAAAGTAAAACCATAATTCGAAATTTGCATTAAAACTGAGTGCGCCGCCTCTAGATGTTAAAAAAAATTTTTTTGTCCAAAAATTTTGTTTTTTTATAATCTATAGATTTTACCTTCAGGCTAAGCAACAAAATTTTTTTTTTCGCTCCACCCTAGTATACATACATATACATATATCGAATGAAATAATTCTAACTAAAAATAAATAATTTACATTAAAGAAATTACAAATCACATACAAATTTAAGAGTTCTGCTCATAAAAAATTCTAAAATCAAAGCTTCAATTCATGAAGTCATGACTCATAATGACAAACTTTCTGACGAATCCACTATAAAAATTCATTACCGAACTGCTGTAAATGCAAAAAAATGAGAAATTACTTCAACATTTAAAAAGTAAACCACACTTCCCACGAAATACGCATAGGAAAATGTGCCTGGATTCCAGCCCACGCGCTTACCTTTGCTCACTACCACACGCCACTTAACCGATTATCCGTTACAGTCTTATTCCGTGCGCCTTCCGCGCTCCCCCTTCGTTCAATCACTCGCACGCCTGCTTGTTGGGTGAGTTATTGGCAAATACGCGCAAACCAGTTTTGAAGCGTCATCAGCAGCCAGCACACACAATCCAATTCGCAAAAGATTTAAGCGACGCCTCATTGGGGCAACCAAAACAAAAATAAAGCCAAAGACAAAAACAGAAGAAAAACAAAACACAAAAAATCGCCAAATCTACGAAATCTCAAACGGGCGGCTACGCAAAAAAAAAAAAAAAAGACTTTCCAGCTTGCAAACAAGTACAACAACAACAATGACGTCAAAATGCTGCCAAAAACGTTGGTGCTGTGCAAAACAAAAGCAAAGCGGCACTGCAATAAAAACGCAAGCAACGAGTTAAAATATCCATAAAATAAAATAAACAACAAAGCGCCGCCGCCAAAACTTGTTTTTGAAAACATTGTGCACACACACATTTGTACATACATACATATATATGATTATAGAAGCATGGACGCTGCTTTCCTGCTTATTATGATTTTGCTACTGTTGTTGTTGTTGTGTTCTTTTATTTGTTTTTGTGTCTCCTCTATGTGTTTGTTTTCATCAGTACTTTTATTTATGCCTTTATGTATGTATATGAGGGTGTACTTGTAATTTCTAATATTTTTATACCCTGCACAGGATATATTAAAATTTTAACACACAGAAGGAAACATCAGAGACGACCCTAAGATATATACATATATATATGTATAAATGATCAGCGCATCGATCTGAGTCTATTTAGCCATGTCCTTCTGTCCGTCCGTCCAACTGTATATACGCGAACTAGCCCCTCAGTTTTTGAGATATCGCTCGGAAATTTTGCGCACATGCTTTCCTCCCCAAAAATCAGCTCATTTGTCGGAACCGTCGATCTCGGACCATTGTAGGATATAGCTGCTAAATAAATCTACCTCTCCAAATCCAACCCTTGTATAAAAAACTTTTTCGACAAGATAACTTAATGAAATTTGACACAGATTATTGCTCAAGGTAACGAGACCGAACTTATTATTCAGATCAGATCATTATTAGATATCGCCGCCATATAAATTGGTCGATCAAACTCAAGTCCTTTTATGGAAAACGTTTTCATTTGACAAGATATAAATACGAAATTTGCATAAATTATGGTATAAAGCAACGCTACCATCTCGAAACATATTGTTCAGGTCGATCCACTATAGCAAATAGCTGCCATACAAACTGACCAATCAAACTCAAATTTTTGTATGGAAAACTATTTTATTTGCCAAATTTCGTAAAAAATCACTACAATCTCAGCATATTTTTTTCAGATCGGACTACTATAACATATAGCTGCGATACAAAATATTCAATCAAAATCAAAATAAACATCTTTTCATGCCCTTTTATGCCATAATAAACGCACCTGTGAAGGGTATGGTTGCTTCGGTGCAGCCGTAGTTAACTTTTTATCTTGTTGTTGTCATTGTCAGTGATTTTTCTGCTATTTATTGCTTTTATCTCATACTCGCTTTGTTGATTTATGTTGTATTTCTTCTGCTGCATTTCATTTCTTTTTCGCCTTTTATGTTCTTCTTCTATTTTTTATTTTAAAATTTTTACTCCATTTTTGTATTTTAATTATTTTTTTTTGTTTTCTGTTTTTCTTAATTTTTTTTATTTATTTATTTTATGTGTTTGTTATTTTTTTCTTTTATATTTTATTGTAGTATTTTTTATTGTTATTCTAAAAAGCAGTAGCAAACAACTTCAGTTCTTGTCTGTCTCTGCTTTCAACTACCTTCGCGCTTGCCGCTACCATGCTTTTGTGTTGTTGTTGTTGATGATGGTGCTTTTCTGCTTCTTCCTTTTCTTCTCTTAGCGACGCTCTGCTGCTGTCATTCTTCATATGTAGCCTTTCCAAGTGTTGTCATTGAATGTAAGTAGTTGCTTTGCCTGCTTGGTTTTGCGGATTTGCGATTGTTGTTGCTGCTGCTTTACCTCTTGCTGCGTGGCAGGCTGACTGGCACTCGCTACTCGCTTTGTCCGCTGGCCTAACTTCATGCATTTTAAATGTATGTGTACAAAACCAACAACAACAATAATAACAACAAAAACCACACTCATCTGCTGTCATTATTTATGCGCCGCAGTTGCCTGCACCCGCGCGTTTTCACCCAAACACAGCACTTTGTTGTTGCTGCTGTTGTTTTTTCTCGTTCACCTTTTTAGGATTCTCTTTAATTTTTACTACTACTTTTTTTGTAGTGTTCTTAATGTATTTCTTGCTTTGTGCATTTTATTTCAACCACTCTGCTGTTTCTTCAACTACTTCTTTCGGTTGTAAACATACACACACACACACACATACACTTCTACATACACATAAACACCACCATTTGATTGCATCTTCTTCTTGTGTCTTGTGCCTTTGTGCCCATAAACTCCTGCTGCTTCTTCTTCTACTACTGCCGTTTCAACGTTAGTGGTTGGTGTTTTTGGTGTTGTTCTTGTTGTTAGTGTTGGATACTTTGGTGGTTGCTGTACCCATAATATTGCTGCAGCTTCTTTGCCGTCACTATTTCTTCTTGCCTCTTTAACGATCGTTGTTTCTTCGACGTCTACTCCTGCAATCTCGAAATTGTTTACCATCATCCAGTTAGATTGTCTTCACACACACACACGCACGTATGTTTATATCATGTACCCATGCTTCTTTGTTGTTCTGTCTCGCTATGTTTTTGCTTTGCTTTGCTCTTCTGTTCATTCCTCGTTAGCGTTATGCCGTTTCCTTTTTCGGCTGGTCAATCACTCCAATCCGTGGCCTGTGACACATTGAAGAATTGTATGACCAAATTTGTCTTGCTTTTCAAAGCTGTTGCTGCAGTCGTGGACTCATCTGTTGAATGCAATTCCTTTTTGGTTTCTGTTTTTGAATTCTCATTTTAATTTTTATACCCCGAACAGCGTATATTAAGCTTGCCATGAAGTTCGTAACACCCAGAGGGAAACGTCGCTGGCCTAATAAAAAGTATATACATAAGTATGTATATATAAATGATTAGCGAGACGAGCGTAGTTGATTTAGCCATGGCCGTCTGTACGCGAATTAGCTTTTCAGTTTTTAAGATATCGATTTGAAATTTTGCACACGTCCTTTTCTCTTCAAGAAGCTGCTCATTTGTCGAAACCATGAATATCGGACTACTATAGCATATAGCTACCAAACAAACTGAACAATCGAAATTAAGTTCTTGTATGGAAGCCTCTTTATTTGTGATGAGTATTCTTGCTTCGCTGCAACAGCAGGTAATGTTTTTTTTTTCTGCAAATCTTGAATGATTTCTCTTACTCTCTGACTTTGAATAATATTACTCTACATATATACAAGTATGTATAAACTTATCAAAATAACTTACGATATAACCTTAAGCAACAAATAAAATTAAAAATACCACCACTCCACCAGGTGTTAATTAATTTTTTTCCATTCCCAACTTTTTTCCAGCAATTTTTAACACGTTTAATGCGAAATCTCTACAATTGTCTTGCTGAGCGCGCAATTCGTCTTTATTGCAACAAAAGGCAAAAACAAAGAATTCTCCGTAAAGTGCTTACAAAAACGTGTTATTTAAGCGGTGTGAATATATAAATACCCACATACACATATATATGGTGTATACTGGTGCTTTTGTGCTTAAGGTTAAACCAACACTTACTCGCCATCGATTGCATTTTTGTGGATTTAAGCAAAGTTTAAAATTCGTTGGAAAATAAATTCGTTAAGTTGTGGCTTGCAGAATATATACACACACAAACATACATATATACATGTGAATGTACAGCCAGACAACAGGTTATTTGCTTGTGGTGAGTTAGAAGTGATTTTTGTAAGTTTTTATGAAACTCTTTATTGAAATTTAATTTATAAAAATTATACAAATATTAATCTTATTTAAGAAGCGAAAAAAGTTAAGTTTTTTATTTGTGTATATACTTTTTTTTGGTAAAACTTATTTTTGTATAACCTAACAACTTGTTTTTTTTTACAAAACTACTGATTATTATAATTTTTTTTTCTGCGAGAATCTTATTTAATTTCTAATTTAGCACGCACGAAGCATCGGGCTTAATTCTAAAGCTATATCAAAATTTCATTGCGTGTGAATATACCATTAAATACAGTTGAATCCACCCAATTTCAATTACAGGGCCTTTGTAATGCCAGATAGAGGTTCATTATTAATACGAACTGTAGTCTACATCGTACATGACTTGGTATCTTATTCTGATACTTCATCCAGCCCCTGAAACTGCGAAGCTCGTAGATATCTAAGCCGAGTTCTAGATTAGGCCGGATATAAGCAGAGGAGGTGTTCCAGCGTCTACTTCCCTGCACTTTCTACATTTGTCATCGTTAATAGCGCCTATATGGCTAGCATGTGATGTCAATAAGTTGTGAACTGTGACTAGGTCAACAACCATCCTCCAGTCTTTTCGAGATCAAGCTATTTCATTGCCTGGAACGCACTTGAGGCCTGAAACTCAGTCTATATGCAGCCACTCTCCGCCTTATCTACTGCCCCCCCTGCTTCCAGGGTCATTCTCTAACGCAATGCTTGGCTATCGACGTGTATATATGTATATTGATATTATTTATGTCGTTTCCTGCGTAATCAGCTATTTCAGCAGCTTTCGTGACTGCAAAATCTTCTGCCTGGAAAACACTGCAGGGCTAGCAGGGTCGCCAGAGATCTAGCTCCGCACAATAGATCACGGCACCCACTCCATCAGCCATTCAATTAGGTTAGTTATTAAAATTAATCGCCGAGGCACACAAACTCCACTTAAATGCTATCCTCTTTTAGTGTTTTCCTCAACTTTTCTGAACTTTTTGAACAATATAGTAATGATTTGCTTTTGTTGAACTCCGATATCATCCGAAGCTTGCTGACGTATCCTATACTTTTCAAATAACCTTAGAAAAGAAAGTCACGGGTTTCAAATATAGAAATTTAGAAATATACTATCAAGACCTTTACCACACATTTTTGACCAGACATAATTATCGATTTCGGTAGTCATTGACTTTTTCAATATAGATATATCAAATTAATAACGACAACTCTTCATAACATCGTATCACTCCATGGAGTATCAAGGTGAAACTACTTTCGTAACTACTCTCAAGTCATTATATCTATCATGCAGCCGTTTATATGTATTTATATTTGTAGCTATATATTTGATTTCATATCAGCACAAAAAAACATGAATGTACATGTATATGTAACTGATAAATAACATTTGGACAGATTTATCACCCTTCACAACAAATTATTTACGAACTTTTTCCACTCAAGTTAGATTCGAAGCTTCAAAATGATTGAAATTATTAAATTTTTTTCTTTTCTACTAAATAGTCATCACTGCGCACCCGTAATGTCAAAACCACGCAATGAATTTTAGTATTTGAAAAAAGTTAAGCTTTTCATATCCAGTTAACCAGTTATCAATTGAAACCGACTATCAACAAAAATCACATTTCACATCCGTCCATCGGCCATTAATATTTACTTAACACGATTTTTATCACTGCAAATGTTAAATATTTATTATTGACACAGCAAATGAAAAAGGGTGATTATCTATACGCCAAAAAAAAAAAAATAATTATAAAGTGCAGTATAATAAATAATGTGTCCCACGGCGTTTCCCGTAGGTGTATGAATGCAGTGGTCGTAAAATGTGGAAATGAACACAATTCTTTGAAAAAAAGCTTATTTCTGAATATGAGTGCATTATTATATACATACGTATGTATACATTCATTATATGTATGTACATATTTATGGGTTCATGTATATGTTTCATACCTGGAAGAAGGAGTAACTTTGCCAATTAAAATAGCAAATTAACCGATTACAACCTTCAGTCTTGAAGAGCAAATTATGTTGGCTTCTTATAGACAAGCTTTTATTAGGGTAAGCCATTTTTTTAAAGATTTTTGCTGTGAATATGTATATGTTTTCTGAATAATATAAGTCTAGCTTAATTTCAAATACAATTTTCAAACAAACTTTTTATATTAGTCTAGTCCAATTTACTTAATTTTGGTATATTTATATGTTTGTACAAAAAAAAACTATAAATCTAAATATTCAGTTCTTGTGGATTGTGTCTATTTGGAAATACAGCATTTTTCCTAGACACTTACGATATTGTGATACGTTAAAGTGGGCCTTCCACAACAGTATCTAATATTTTTATTGACTTAAGCTATTCTTATATTTGATGACAGTTGTACTCGCATAATTTTTGAATAGATTTTGAATATTTTTTGTAACAGTTATACTGGCATGTAGCAACGGTGCTATAATCTTATAATTACAATTCAAGAAAATTTTACACGTTCGCCTGTTCACTACCCACAAAAATATTCTCTGGTTAAAAAAAATTCACGAGCGCGTTTATGGATAACTCATTCAAGTTGTATAACCGAATTCAATATATATTTAATTATATCAGTCTATGCAAGTTACACCAGTTTATATGAGTTATACTAGTTTCTGCTCGTTTCGCCGCTCTTCAACAATTTTTTGGCCATAGCCTCTTTTCATTCTATCTAGAGGATGTAACTCGTTGCATTTCAATTTCTATTTGAATATACTATTTAATGTGAGTTATACCAGTTTATGTGAATAGTATCAGTTGTTGTTCGCTTCGTCGCACTTAATGGTTTTGTGAATATAACCTATAATCGCAATTCTATCTTTATTTCATTGTATCATTTTATGTGAGTTATACTAGTTAAGGAAAATTATACCAGTTTTTTTATTTCAAAGTTATTCAAGGGTTTTTGGATATACTTGCCTTCTATTCTTTTTCTATTAGCTTATGCCAGTTTTTGTAAGTTATACCACTTTTTTTCATTTCGACGTGCTTCAAAGTTAAGCAAATCGATGAAAGCTTATGTTTGATTTGATTAAAATTGGTCTGAAAAATGTTTTGCCATATTGGTAGATCCCTTAATTAGTTGCGTTTACAAGATTTTTGTTTTCCACTTTTAAATTAGAATTAATTATAAGAAGGTGGTTTTATATTTTTGTTTAGGCTCCTACTATTATTTTCCATTCGACCAAATCAAAGTGATCAAGTGTTTTTGCATATTTTGTATGTTAATAGAATTTCCATCGCAAAGTTATGAATCGAAATTCTATTTCCTTCTATATGTTATCGTTTTTGAAAATTTTTTTACTCTATGTGTCTATCCAGAGAAAAAAATGTAAAATAATCACCCTAATGTGAAAGGGATGAAGTTATTGTTATATGGTATCTTAACATAAGGTGTTGCTTTTATAAAGAAAATTATTTTGATTTATGTCAATGAATTTCTTTGTGTGCGTATATGTGTGGACATATAAAATATGATTCCTAAATAAATATATGTACCTGATATCTTCATAAAAACAAATGTACATATGTACCACATATAAATATATATTATGTACGAGTATACCGTAATCGAGCATAGAATTTCTCAATAAAAATAAACTGCAATCGAAGAGACTTGCAATCGGAAATATTTCCTTTTAATATTTTATGGTTGCCAAAGCCATTACTGCGCGAAGTTAACCGCCAAGGTAAGGCGTGCAATCCCCTTTTTGAGCACACAAATACCAAGTCTAACTAAGTCAGCAACAACAATGTTGCAGGTGTACATATAATAATTTAATATTTGCTCGCACATTCACTTTTTATTTAACTTGTACTTGAGTAACGGCACGGAATGGCATGGCTTGGCAGCCAGAGCGTTTTGCCGTCATGATTTGCTCATTTGTTGGTTCATTCGTTCTGGCGTATTTTCTTTTATTATCGGTTATCAACTTTACATTAAATATCCTCCGCACCTTTTTTGCCGCGAGGCTCGTGAATGCTGAATAAGAAGCCAACAACAACAGCAAAGCAAGCCGGTGCCGTTGCCCGTATAGCGTCTTATCACGCCCGTCAGCATGAGTATCTAAGCGATAGACTTTTGTAGATATGTATTTTTGTAGGTATCTCTAAGTACACTGAATCGCAAGTAGAACACACGAAACAGCAATGAAGGTGTAGAATACATGCATACAAACTTATACTTATATACATACCTACATACATATATTAGTGCAAACAACCAGCACATAGCGTGCAAACAAACACGCTTCTCAGTTCAATTCTTTTTTTTGTTTTTTATTTTTGTTTGAAACTTTTGCTGGCGTTATCAATCTTTGGCCCGATTCGTTTGCCGCCCGCATGCGAGGACGTCTTTTTCAACCAATTTAATTCTCTTTTTATTCTTTATTTTTTTTTTTTTTGGTTTTCTGCTCGCATTGCTCTTTGCTTTTCTTGTTTGTGCTGCACTTTTTCTCACTTGCCGCTATTGATTTTATTTCGTGTTATCAGCGAAAATACTATTTGTGATGGTGGTTCGAAAAAAAAACTAAAAATTGATTGCTGCGAGCTACTTAGAAATACATACAATATAGAAACCTATCTATGTATATAATTTATACATAAGAACATATATACATATATACTAATAAAGCGATGTGTGGGCGCTGCAGCGTTGGAAAATACATTTTGCGTTTTCAGCGCGGAATTTCGGCTGAAAGCTGATGTCTGTACAAATCTATGCGGGTGCCCGTCGTCTGACGGTATGTGATTATTTGGGTTATTGTTTCATTGAGAAAAAATACACAGTGTTGTGAATTGAAAAAATTTATTTTACAAAAGAAATTTAAAACAGAAAATACACTTTCGAATGGGAGCCGTGACTAGAGCTACGTATGATCACTCTGCAAATATGTAGTAAATAATGGCTATCCTCC